CCTCCTCCCCTCCCCCCGTCCTCCTCCTCGTCCTGCTCCTCCTCATCATCATCCTCTTCCTCCTGTTTTTCCTCGTCTGCGTCCTTGTCCTTCTGTCCCTCCTCCTCTTCCTGCTCCTCCTCCTCCTCCCCCTCCTCCTCCTGCTCCGTTTCTTTCTCTTCTTGCTCATTCCAATCTTCCTGCCCCTCCTCCTCGTCACCCTTCCTTCGTCCTTATGAATAACTTTTCCACGCCGCACCCCCAGTCGTGTCAGTAGGGCGGGCCCAGCGTTTCACCGGAGACTTCCTTACCATTTCTGATCTTGAAGCTTGAGATTTGCAACAGGTTCACGGATAGGGGGCGGGTGGTTTTCAAAATGTTGTTCTTTGTTTAGCATCGCGCACATTCAATTTCAAATGCTGTAGCATCTTCAAGAATGGAAGACAGGTGTTGTTTTCAATGTGTGGCTCTCTGTTGAGCGCCGCGCACACTCGTTGCTTCAATATGAAGAACTGCCACAGCTTCAATGGTGCATGGCAACTCCTTTTCCAAATGCGGCTCTCGCAATAGCGCCGAGCACATTCGTCTTGAACGTTTGGAATGGTTTCAAGGGTTGTATGGTTGAAGTTTCAGGAATGGTTTGCTGGTAAGACTTACTGGTGGGTTGTCAGGATGCAACAGCCACGTTGATTCGTCGTGTTGAAATCCCAGTAATTGTGTCTTGGCGCGATGGCGCGATGTAGGAGTGTCTGGACGCAACAGTCGCGTTGACTCGGGGCGCGGAAGTCCCAGGAATTGGATTTTGGCACGATTGAGGATTCTCAGACGTTTGTCTTCCAATGGGGCAATTCCCGCAGCGGGAACAGATTCCTGTAAGGGCCTATGGAGAGGGCTCTTGGAGGGTTTATTGCAACATCGTTGGCGCGTCTTGGGTTTACGCTGGTCCTCCTCCTCCTCCTCCTCCTCCTCCTCCTCCCACTCCTCCTCCTCCGCCTCCTCCTCCTCCTCCTCCTCGTCCTCCTCCTCCGCCTCCTCCTCCTCATCCCCCCCAGGGCTCAGTTCCTGCTTCTTCTCCTCCCCCCCTTCTCTGAGGCCCCTTGGGCCCGTTCTAGTTCAGGTCTCTGTTGCGCATCGGTTTCGGCCGGCTCGATCCGATTCGATTCCGATGGCCCGTGCTTGTGCGGCCGTGCGGCCCAACTCGGTTCCAACTCGATTCGATGTCGCCGTGCACCCTGGCGCGGCGCGGCCCGGGCGGTGGCCCCAGGTCTGGGGCCAACTGCTCGACATCCGTACACTTTTGCCCACCAGACTGCCGAAGGATTGTCTTTCTCCCGAGTGGCGCTTCGCGAGAGGATTCTTCCCAGAGGGGGAAAAAAAGCACAGAAGAGTGCTGCATGGGGGCACAGGGGGCCCGAGAGCACCCAGTCCAGCAGCCGTTTCGATCGAGGTGTCCTCGCGATGTATTCCAGAATCGTGCTCTCGCCTCGATGCCGGCTGCCTGTTTCGTCTGGACGGCCGCGGTCCCTCGTGAAAAGTGCGACGAGTTGCACATGGCCGTGCTGTCACCCCTGCCCCGAGTCGTCGACGTCTTGGAACCCGCGGGCGTACATAGGAATACACGCTTGCACTCGCCGACCTCCCTCTCCTCGACCCGCCTCTGCACCTGGGGTGCTCTGCCAGAGTCATTTTTCTCAACCTCCGGGAGCCGTTGTCGGGCCAGGGGGCCATCAGAAGTCGGCCACGAGCGGGCAACTACCCCCAGGGAAAGGGCCCCGAGTGCTGGGGCCGCGGATTGACAAACACGCATCATAGCTGGATGTCTGGGCCTGGCCCGCTCGACCCTGGTACTCCGACAATCCAGCGTTGTGCCCGGCGCTTCCAGGGCGCCGCTGTGCACCCGTGGTCCGTGGGCGCGGCCGGCTCGATTCGATTCCGGCTCTGTGCCGATGCGATTTACCGATTCGACGCGCCCAGATCTCCGACGATCTGATTTTGTCAATCTTGGCTTCGATTTCGACCTCTGGCAGCCGTTTTCGGGCCCCTGGGATGATCAGAAAGGGATCCCAGCTGGAGAAGCAGTGGGGACTTTGGGGCCGCGGATGGGAGAAAGAACACATCGGCGGATGTCAGCCTAGGCATGCGACGTCCTGGTTTTTCGGGGTCCCCGGAAGTCCCGATCCCAGGGGCCGCTTTTCCATCGCGAGTCGTTTTGTTGACGTTCCCGGGGCGTGAAGGCCCCAGAGGCCGAAAGCTACGCAGTAGCCGTCCTGACCTTCTGAAGACTTCTGATTGTCCAGCCTACTTTAGCCTCGATCGCCAGGAAGAGTTTCGAGCACCAGGAAAGTACTCCGAGACTGGGAGGCTTTCACGTGTCGGGCCCTGGGAGGCGATACTCGTTCGACACTTCGCTAGCATGTCGGGCAGGCACTGTTTCGATACTTCTCTGGGTGCTCGGAATTATGTCGGGGATGTGGCCTGGAAGTACGACGTGAACAGCAGAAACCAGGGTAAACCAACGAGGAAGAAGGAGGAGGAGGAGGAGGAGAAGGAGGAGGAGGACGAGGAGGAGGAGGAGGAGGAGGAGGAGGAGGAGGAGGAGAACGAGAAGTAGGAGGGAGGAGGAGGAGGGAGGAGGAGAGGAGGAGGAGGAGGAGGAGGACCAGTGTTAACCCCAGAGTCACCGACGATGTTGGAATAAACCCTCCCCTAAGCTACTTCTTCATGGGCCCTTTTAACGGTTCATTTCCACAGAGGGACTTGTTTGAAGACAGTGAAGCATGCCAAAACGTTATTCTCGGGTTTTTTGACGCCGCGGATGAACCGAATTGATGCGTTTTGTCGATCCTGAGTCGTGCCAGAACGCGGAGGAGGAGGAGGAGGAGGAGGAGGAGGAGGAGGAGGAGGAGGAGGAGGAGGAGGAGGAGGAGGGGGAGGAGGGGGAGGAGGAGGGGGAGGAGGAGAGAAAAGGAGGAGAAAAAGGAGGAGGAGGAGGAGGAGGGGGAGGGAGAGAGGGAGGGAGGGAGGGAAAGAGGAAGGGAGGGAGGGAGGAAGGGCAGGGAGAGGGAGGGAGGGAGGGAAAGAGGAAGGGAGGGAGGAAGAGGAGGAGAAAGAGGAGAAAGAGGAGAAAGAGGAGCAGGAGGCGAAAGAGGAGGATGAGGAGGAGGAGACGGCGGAGGGGGAGGAGGGGGCAAGCTTCCCGCAGAAGGCCGCGCCTGCATGTCCCGGAAGGGCACCTTCCGATCCGGTCCGACCTCCCGGTGCGGTGCACCGGGGCCGATGCTGTCCGGGGCGGGAGGCCCGGCGGGGCGCCTCCAGGGAGGGCTATCGGAGGAGCCTGGCGGGCCCCCCCCGCGGGAGCCGGCGGAAGCAGGGCACGCATGCGTTTCGAGAATCGGATCGACTACAAGATTGGTGCACCCCAGAATTCGTTTTGTTCGTCGACTCTGCGGGAACCTATCGTGAACGGACGTAACGTAGGTCTGCGAACATACTACGACTTGTCATTGCGGATTCGACGGCTGCTCGAGTGCTGGCGGCTGCGCGGGGGGGGAGTCTGCAGGAGCACCCGCAGTCAGAGGAGGAAAAGGTTGAGGGGGCGAAGAGCGGTGTAACGTATGCCGTCGGGGACGCCTGCCCCCCTGGGCGGCTGTAGAGTTTGTACCCCGCGGTGCCACGTAGGGGTTTAAGTTTTCCAGCTGCACAAAGGGGCAGGCTTCCCCGACGGCGGAAAAGTTTAACTCATACCGTTCTTTGCCCGCTAGAAGGTAACCATAATTAGTCACCCCTCGTTTTCGTCTTGTTGGGCCTCCTGGGACGCCCTCGTCGCCACCGGTGGATTCGCCTCGAGACCCCTGGCCAGAACGCACCCCGGGAGAGGTCCGGGGAGCAGCGGTGTCGGTACCGTTTGGCTTCCCCACGCAGAGCGCCCCTGAGATCCGGGCGTTGCAATTTCTCCACGCCAGGCGCTTTCGCCGGGCCTCGGGCCCCGAGCCCCTCGCAGGTCGGTCCGGCTCGACAAGTGACGCAGACAGGTGGGGTCGATAATCGGGGTTCTGGTCGTGATGTCTCGCGACGTTGGATTTTTGTTTCGCAGCGTCGGATCTCAGGAGCGGCGCGCGCCGTTGGCGCGGCCCGCCTTTCCAGCGCTCCGTCGCCGAGCGGTTGGGGTCCGCCGGCGCCCTGGGTGCTCTGAGTATATCCAGCGCGCGGCCTCCAGACGTCCTGCGTGCCGGGTGTGTAGTGTGTGTGTGTGTGTAGTGTCTGTGTGTAGTGTAGTGTGTGCAGTGTGTGCAGTGTGTGTAGCGTGTGTGTAGCGTGTGTGTGTGTGTAGTGTTTGTGTGTGTGGTGTGTGTATGTGTGTATGTGTGTACGTGTGTAAGTGTGTCTAATGTATGTAGTGTAGTGTGTAGAGTGTAGTGTGTAGTGTGTAGTGTGCAGTGTGCAGTGTGCAGTGTATACTGTATAGTGTATAGTGTATAGTGTATAGTGTGTAGTGCAGTGTAGTGTAGTGTAGTGTAGTGTAGTGTAGTGTAGTGTAGTGTAGTGTAGTGTAGTGTAGTGTAGAGTAGAGTAGAGTAGTAGAGTAGAGTAGAGTAGAGTAGAGTAGAGTAGAGTAGAGTAGAGTAGAGTAGAGTAGAGTAGTAGTAGTAGTAGTAGTAGTAGTAGTAGTGTAGTGTAGTGTAGTGTAGTGTAGTGTAGTGTAGTGTAGTGTAGTGTAGTGTAGTGTAGTGTAGTGTAGTGTAGTGTAGTGTAGTGTAGTGTAGTGTAGTGTAGTGTAGTGTAGTGTAGTGTAGTGTAGTGTAGTGTAGTGTAGTGTAGTGTGATGTGTGCGTGTTCCAGCTTCCTGGTAAGGCGTGACCTCCCATGAGAAGCCGGCACCGCCGTGCCCCAGGGTGTCCGGAGTCGGAAGGTTCGTAGCCGTCCTCTCCGATGCCCCAGCCTCTTCCTCCGATCGGGAAGGGGGGGGAAGGCGTTTTCGGGCAGGGCCAGGACCGGGATGAATCGTTCCTGAGTGTTCTGCAATGCTCTCAGAGCGCTCCAGACACGGCCGCGGTGCGCGATACATCCTCCAGAATCGCTGCATCTCGGAGATCCCCGACGATCTGCCGTTCCCGTCCGACGTTGTCCCGGCCCTGGCCTGGCTTCGTAGTTTGCTTGGCCTCGTGCCAGGTCTGGCTGGGCAGTTCTACCAGCGCGCGCTTCCCTCGAAGCAGATCGCCTTCGGCTCCCCGGAGGGCCGGAGGCTCTTCCGCGAGGCCCTTGCCGCCGGCAACATGGAGAACTACTTCTTCCTGGCGGAGCAGTTCCGCACCCAGGACGACCCCGCGTTCTGTGGGCTGGCGACCCTGGCGATGGTGCAAGGGAGCCAGAGGAGCGAGCGGTTCTGATAGCGATGCGTTCCGGGATGTCCAGGATGGTCCTAGATTTAAGTCGGGCCTGTCCCTCTACAGGAGGAACATTCAAACATTGTCAAAAAGTAGTCTGGGGACGATGTTTCGATTGTTTCCGTTGGATACTTTTTGCATACTTTTTTGAGTATGTTTTCTTTTTCGTCCAAAATCCGCCGGTAGGAGGACATGCCCGACCTGATCCTAGATTGCCTCATGCTCCACACTTTTGCTGCAGAAACGAGGGCCGCTCGATGCTCCGGAGCTCCTGGGGCCCATCCCTGGTTCAAGCGTGGCACGATTCCACTCCCACCCTGCATTTGAGTCGCGCCTGTCCCTCTACAGGAGGAACACTTACAAACAGTTAAAAGATAGTCTGGGGACGATGTTTTGATTATTTTTGCCTATTTTTGGATTTGTGTTTTGGACATGTAAATATAGTAAAACAATAGTCTGGGGACGATTGTTTGACTATTTTTCTCTATTTTTGGATATGTGTTTGGGACTCTTTTTTATGTTGCGCCCCAAATCCGCCTGTAGGGGGGCATGCCCCACCCAACCCTACGCATGAAGACAAAACTGTCGGAGGTCCGCGCGGCTTTCTTGGGCCGGCGCTGGACCCCCCCTCCCTGGCGCGCAGAGCGCGCCGGGGGCGGCGACGGAGGCGCCGCTGGGGGAGAACCAGCGCCGGCCCAAGAAGTCCACGCGGACCTCCACAGCCATCGTGCTGCAACTGGGAAAGGCAGGGCTGAACCTAAACGGTGTTTCGCGTTTTCGTTGTGTTGTCGTTTTCCCCCGCTTTGGTTTCGAATCCGCCTCCACCGCAAGACGAAGGCGAAACGAAAACGGCCCACGAAATCGCCGACAACACCGCCTAGGTCCAGCCCCCTGGGGAAAGGGGAACATGGAGCGAAGGGGGCTCTTCTGGCCACGGCGAGCCTCGGCCACGACTGAGCTCCCCGCCCTGGATCGGAGGAGCGGCGCTCGTGTGCTGCTGCTCGTGCCGCCCTGCCGCGCCCCAGGTGCTCAACTCCCTGCGCATCGACCCCATGCGCACCTGGAAGGGCGCGTGGCGGTGGTTCTCAGGAGGGGAAAAAACACCCTGACACAATTAATCGTCGATTCCCAGGAAAACATAGGAAAATATGGAAAGTGGGGGGGAAGACAGACACCCAGAAAATATGGGAAAAGATTGGCAATCCTGTTATTTGTGTGCATTTATTTGTGTATCCCCGGGCCTCTGCAGGTTCAACGAGCTGAACCTCGGCTGCTGCTCGAGCCCGAGCAGGCCGGGCCGCCCACGAGTCGACGCGGTGCGCCTCGGCTCGCCAGCCTATAGGGCCGCGGTTCCGATGCGATTCGCTTCGGTCCGTTTCGCCGGCAGCGGCCGCTGCCAGCCGGAGCCTGGCGCGGCGAGCCGCTTCGGGGGGTCGGTTCGCAAACAGACACAATGGATCGTCGATTCCCCAGAAATATGGAAAATATGGGAAGTGGGATGGAAGCCAGAAGCCCAGAAAATATCCGAATTTAGTTGTGTGTTCCAGTTCCCCTTCACTCATGCCTGGCAGGGTGCGCGAGGAAGGCCTCAGCTTCGACATGTTCGGCCGCCTGGCCAGCTGCAACGGCGCCGGGGTCACGGCCAGGCGCGCGCCCGCCGCGGCAGAGGGCCCGCGCTCGCGCCGGAGCTTCGAGGAGGAGCTCGGGAGGCGGAAGAGACTTGGCATCGCTCGGCCGTGTGCATTGTCCTTTCGGCGAGGACCATCGAGGAGCATCCCTGATCACTTGGCGAAAAAGCCACTCACGAGACCGAAACAAAAAACACAGGAAGTCCGAGCGATGGCCAGGGTATGCGCCGGTGCCGCTGCTCGTCCCGGCGAGCTCTCAGCGCCACGGCTGGATTCTCCTGGGAGTCCTGGCCAGAAGGCGCCTCAGGAGAGGTCCGGGGGGTAGCGGTCCGTGGTGCCTCGTTGTCGGGGGTTGCTGAAGAGGCACCTGGCCCAAGGTGCCCCCAGATTTTGGCTTCATTTTGGAGCCCCGAGGGCCCTCTGGGCCTCGCGAGGGGTTCTCCGGAGGCCGTGGAGGCCTCCCTGGAAATCCTGAGGGTACCTTGGGCCAGGGGCACTTCTAGCAACACCCGACTTTGTCCCCCCCCCCCGCCCTCCCCCTTCCCCCCCGACCCCCCTCGGGGAGGAGTTCCGGGCGACCGTGCGCGCGACCAGCCGCAGCGGCGAGCGCGAGTGCCTCGTGGTCTGCTACGCCCGCGAGGCGCTGGGGCAGACGGGCGTGGGCCACTTCTCCCCGATCGGCGGGTACCACGCGGAGACCGACCGCGTGCTCATACTGGACGTGGCCAGCTTCAAGTACCCCACGCACTGGGCCGCCCTGTCGGAGGTGATGATGATGCTGCTGATGATGCTGCTGCTGATGATGATGATGCTGATGATAATGATGATAATGATGATAATGATGATGATGATGATGATGATGATGATGATGATGATGATGATGATGATGATGATGATGATGATGATGATGATGATGATGATGATGATGATGATGATGATGATGATGATGATGACTCGATCCCGACATGTTCCGACGGCGCGATGCGGCCCCTCTCCTGCACGGCGCTGCTGTGCACTTCGGCGCGGCCGCTCCGATCCGATTCCGACTCCGTGCCCGTGCGGCCCGATCCCTTGGCATCGCTCGGACGTGCGCATTTGCTTTCGGCAAAGACCATTGAGGAACATGTTGGGCCATCCTGCGTGCGAACAAAATGCACGCGCGAAACCGAAGCATGCACGGGGACATGGACGTCCGGGCGGTGGCGAGATTCGATGCGCGTGCCGATCCGACCCGATCTCCGAAACTCGATGTCGGTTGGCACGGAGGTGGCGGAGGGCATGCTCCGCGTGGACCAGCAGACGGGACGCCCTCGGGGCTACCTGCAGCTGCGCGCCCAGCCCGAGGGGGACGGCGAGGGCCTGCGGCAGCAGCCGCTCCGCGTCGCCTCGGTGCCCAGGCGCGAGGCGGGGATTTATGTCCACGGCCCGGGAGCCGACGTCCTGGGAACCCGGCGGGCGGTGGACGGGGACATGTGTTGGCCTCCGCGGGCCAAAATATGGGTCCAGATCCTTAAGTCGGGCCGAATTGAAAAATAGTCAGAAAATAGTCTGGGGACGATGTTTCAAATCCTTGTGGCTATTTTTGATCCTTTCTAGTATTTCGAAGTTTTCCTCCAGAACCCGCCTGTAGGGGGACACGCCCGACCTGACCGTAACCACCGCCTGTGGAGGCCCGCGAACATCGAGCCCCCAGGCGGTGGTCCTGTGTGCAAAGCCCCCCGCCCCGAGCCAGGGCCGCCGGCCGCTCGCTGACCCGCGCGCTGGCCGCGGCCCTGGGCGGCGAGCCCGCGGGCGCCGCCGGCGCGCCGCCCTCCGCCGCGCTTCCGGCGGCGCGGGCCCAGGCGCCCGACGGTGTGATTTTTCGTCGCGGAGCCCACCTCTGTCGAAGAAGAAGAAGAAAAAACACAAAAACAATAAGGCTCCTCGTGTCAGAATAGAGGGAGAAAACGAACACACACACACAAACATAAACACACACACATAAACATAAACTTCTGGTGCTCCGCGCGGATTTCTTGGATCCGCGCGGAGCTCCAAAAGTTTAAGTTTGTGTGTGTGTGTGTTGTTCTTCCTCTGTTCTGACGCGAGGAACATTTTGCCCCAGGATTGTTGAAGTCCCGCCGCCGCTCGGGCGACATTGCAACCTCAGCTGTGCCGTTCAGGACTGTCGGGGTCCCAGGAGTAGTGCTCTGGCACGATGCAGGATCGTCAAGACGCAACTGTCAGGTTGGCAACATGTGTTTCGAACGGTTCAGTTGCAGTTGTATTGTTGCCCGACCTGTATAGTCTCAGTTGTTCCACACCAGTGTCCTAAGCACCTTCGGGTGTACGACTGCCTGCCTGCCGTGGCCCCAGAGCTCCCCCCAAGACGCGCCAGCGTCGTGGCAAAATCGTGACGGGAGGTTCTTGGCCGTTCTCGGCCTCCAGGGGCCCTCGCTGGGCCTCGGGACCCTAAATAAAACGGCCCGCGATGGAACACTGGCTCTGGGGACGAGGCCTGGACTTTCAGGGCCTCCGCCTCGAGAAATGCAAGGCGTCGCAGGTCTGGGCCGACCCCGTCCCCGGGGCTTGTTCTTTCGCCCCAGGCCCATTTTTCTGGAGGTAGGAAAGGGGTGTGGCATAAAGGGGTGTGGTGCCAAGGCTGAATCTGGCGATGCCACCTATCGTAGGTAGCATCTCGATTTCCACGATTGGCACCACACCCCTTATGCCACACCCCTTTCCTACCTCCAGAATCTTCCATGCCCGAGGACTGCCCTCGAGGGCCAGCATCGAGGAAAGAGGCGCGAGGACGGACGTCAACTCAGCTCGTCGGCGATCTGGGAAGGACGCCTCTGAGGAGAGGAGGGGGAGGAGGAGGAGGAGGAGGAGGAGGAGGAGGGAGGAGGAGGAGGAGGAGGAGGAGGAGGAGGACGACGACGACGACGACGACGACGACGACGACGACGACGACGACGACGACGACGACGACGATCACGACGACGACGACGACGACGACGACGATCACGACGACGGCGAGTCCTCTGGCGCGCTGCGCGCCGAGGGGCTCGGCGGCGCGCTTGGCCTGAGCGCCGCGGAGGCCGAGGGCGCCGTGGGCCGCTGGCTGCGCGCGGCCGCGGCGGCGGAGCCGCAGGTGCTGCGCCGGCTGCTGCAGGCCGGCGACGGGGCGCAGCTGCGGGAGGCGATCGGGGGAGGGCCAGTCTCAGAGGAGGAGGAGGAGGAGGAGGAGGAGGAGGAGGAGTAGGAGGAGGAAAGAGGGAGGAGGAGGAGGAGGAGGAGGAGGAAGAGGAGGAGGAGGGAGCCGGCGAGGAGGAGGAGGAGGAGGACGGAGGCAGGAGGAGGAGGAGGAGGAGGAGGAGGAGGAGGAGGAGGAGGAGGAGGAGGAGGAGGAGGAGGAGGAGGAGTAGGAGGAGGAGGAGGAGGAGGAGGAGGAGGAGGAGGAGGAGGAGGAGGAGGAGGAGGAGGAGGAGGAGGAGGAGGAGGAGGAGGGAGTGGAGGAGGAGGAGGAGGAGGAGGAGGAGGAGGAGGAGGAGGAGGAGGAGAGGAGGAGGAGGAGGAGGAGGAGGCGGAGGAGGAGGAGGGGAGGAGGAGGAGGAGGCGAGGAGGAGGAGGAGGAGGAGGAGGAGGAGGAGGAGGAGGAGGAGGAGGAGGAGGAGGAGGAGGAGGAGGAGGAGGAGGAGGAGGAGGAGGAAGGAGGAGGAGGAAGAGGAGGAGGAGGAGGAGGAGGAGGAGGAGGAGGAGGAAAAGAGGCAGGAGGAGGAAAAGAGGGAGGAGGAAAAGAGGGAGGAGGAGGAGGAGGAGGGGGAGGAGAGGGAGGAGGAGGAGGAGGAGGAGGAGGAGGAGGAGGAGGAGGAGGAGGAGGAGGAGGAGGAGGAGGAGGATGGAAGAGGAAAAGGTACCCATACCGCTACCCCTTCGCCCGTTTCCCCTTTTTCGGCCTCCTGGGCGCGGCCCTCGTCGCCACCGCTGGATTCGCCGCGAAATCCTGGTCAGAAGGCACCCCGGAAGAGGTTCCGGGGGTTAGCGATGTCGGTACCTGTTGACCTCCCCACAGTCGATCCGCCTCCTCCTCTCGGCAGCGCAGCGTCGTCGCCTTGCACGCGCCCGCCCGCGAAGGCGCCAGGCGCGGCCAGCCGAGGTTCTGTTCGTTCCCCTTCGGTCTGCGTCAGGGGCTGCGGCTCGCAGGCCGGAATGGGGTTCCAGTGCGCTCGAGGGCCCAGCGCAGCGCACGAGGCGCCCACAAGGCGCCCACATGCGGGCACCGCGCGCGGGGATCCATGCAAACGGGAGTCAGCCAACGCGCCGGATCTCGCAGGATCCTGCAAGGCCAGGGGTGCACTGACCCGGGCCTGCGCGCAGGCTCTTGCAGGATCCTGCAGGATCTGGCGGGATCCTGCACAGCCCGACCGCCCCGGGTCAATCATGGACCCGGGTCCGTAGCTGCCCGACCAGAGGGGGTCCGAGCAGACGGGGTCGGAGCATCGCGCTGCATCGCCGATGCACCGGCGACCACTGGAGGGGTCTGAGGACCGATGAGCCGGAGCCTCCAGGGCGCGTGCGCCGCCGGCATTCGGGTGCGGCTCGCGCGCGGGGGCGTGCCCCCTCCAGGAGCAGCAGGAGCAAGAACAAGAGCAGAAGCAAGACCGACTTTGAGCAAGAAGCGGCGTGAGCATGATTTCTCGGAGGTCCAGGAGGATTTGAAGGATCGGCGCTGGGCCCCCCTGGCGGCGTCTCGGGCGCCGCCCCCGCGCGTTCCCCGGCCCAGCGACGATCAAAGAAATCCGCGCGGACCTCCGAGAAATTCTGGTGGGTGCGTTCGTTGAGCAATGTTCCCAGGAGGCTTCAGACCCTGGAGGATTCCTTTTATCATCTGATGAGGGCGGCGGTGGTATCCATGACCAATCCACGATTGAAGTTCCACCGGCTTCTGAATCCAGGAGGCTTCAGACCCTGGAGGATTCCTAATTCATCAAATGAATAAAATGTATCCATGGCCAAGCCACGATCGGAGTTCCGCCGGCTTCCAGGTTTCATATTATTTACAGTCAACTCGCATATTAAGGATGGGCAGCCTTCCCAAGAGTACCCTTGCTTCCTTGCCTCCTCGGTGCATCCTTAGCCACTTTCGCTGGCCGCGCCCCGCTCGGAAAGCTTCGAAATGGCCTTCCAAGGCCCTTGCATCCTCATCGTGCGTCCTTATGATACGGGTCGACTGTACCCAATCGGTTCCTTATCCAATGCCAGCGGTGGTATCCATCTCATGCGGGCGGAGGATTTCTTAATTATCTAGTGAGTATGATGAGGCCGGCGGTGGCATCCATGGCCACTCCACGATCGGAGTTCCACCGGCTTCCGGGCCCCAGAGTGCTTATCCAATCGGCCCCTTATCCAGCCTTACCCACTGCCGTCACCGCCTGCACCCGCTCTCGCCCCTCCAGAGGTGATGGGCCGCCTGTGGGCGGCGCCCGCCTTTGCGCAGCTCTGCCACGCCTACGGGCGCCTGACACGCGCCGGCGCCTCGCAGGGGCACGACGGCCTTCGGGGCGCCCTGGAAGCCGGCGCCGGCACGGAGATCTCCGACGATGACGACGACGACGATCCCGACGACGCCGACGACGACAACGACGACGACGACGCCAACGACGACGACGACGATGCCGACGACGACGATGACGACGACGACGACGACGACGACGACGACGACGACGACGACGACGACGACGACGACGACGACGACGACGACGACGACGACGACGAGGCGCGGATCTCCGACGGTCTCCAGATCTCCGACGATTTCCAGGGGACCTCGGAGGGTTTCTCCGAAGGGCTTAGGCGACCCGTCCTCCTCCTCTCCCTCCTCCTCCTCCTCCTCCTCCTCCTCGTCCTCCTCCTCCTCCTCCTCCTCCTGCCGATCTTCGCCCTCAAAGGTCGACTAGAGTGACCCTTCGCCGGAGTGACCTTTGGTGCGGGCTCATCGGGGCCCCCCCCGATGGCCGAGCTCGATGCGATACTGGCTGCTTGCGTGCTTGAATTTGGCCACCCAGCGCCCCCGTGAACCGCGTACTGAAGGTCACCCTTGCCTGGGGTCACTCTTGCGTGTGGCCGATAAGTCGGGGGTGGACAGAACCCCCACCCTGACACCTCGATTAGTGAACTGTCCGTTGTCGGTACTCGAAAGGGTGCCGCGGCCGTCCTTTTCCAGGCTTGCGCCCGCCAGGTTTGGGCCCGAAGTCGTTTTCATTAAACCACGTTTTACTAATGGGGCCCTGTCCATCACCGAATATGTCGGGGGTGGACACACCTCCTACCCTGACACGTCGATTAGCGAATTGGCAGTTTTCGGTTCGCGAGAGGGCGTCGCGGCCGTCATTTTTGCGGGTCCAGGGCCGTCGGTTTCGGTCCCAGGCCGTTTTCAGTAAGGGGAGGTTTACCAAAGGGAGGTTTGTCCACCGCCGAATATGGGCTTCCTGCCCTGCCAGGCCCCCCCGCGGCCCTGCGCGGGTTCCCCCCGCTGCTCTTCGGCCCCGGCGGGGGCGCGGCGGCCCCGGCCGCGGCAGGTGCGGCGGCCAGCGGCGGCCTGGGCAGCTGCGGCGAGCTGTGGGTGCTGCTGCTGGTGTTGCTGCCGGAGCTCGCGGGAGGAGGAGGAGGAGGAGGAGGAGGAGGAGGAGGAGGAGGAGGAGGAGGAGGAGGAGGAGGAGGAGGAGGAGGAGGAGGAGGAACAGGAGGAGGAAGGAGGAACAGGAGGAGGAGGAGGAGGAGGAGAGGAGGAGGAGGAGGAGGAGGAGGAGGAGGAGGAGGAGGAGGAGGAGGAAGCGCAAACATGTATTGAGGCAGCGTTTACGTACTTCGCAGCGCGGCAGAGGCAGTCCGCACGCGCGCTCAGGCGGTCCGTGCCACGGAAAGCGCACAGTAACCGGCGGCAGGAGGAGGGAAAGACAGGCGGAAGCGGCGGCGAGGTAGGAGGGAGGAGGAGGAGGAGGAGGAGGAGGAGGAGGAGGAGGAGGAGGAGGGAGGCGGAGAGGCGGATGAGGAGGAGGAGGAGGAGGAGGAGTGAGGAGGAGGAGGAGGAGGAGGAGGAGGAGGAGGAGGAGGAGGAGGAGGGGGAGGATGACCTCCCATGGCGAGGTGCGTCGCTGTGGAGCGGCTGGAGCGGCCAGCCTGTGCTGCACCCCTGGCAGCGGGCGCGGGGCGGCATCACGGCCACACCCAACAAGGGAGGGAAGAAACACGCTGACCACAAGAGGTCGCATCGACGCCGACCTTGGTCATGGTCCATGCAGGCCGCCGCCGACTCGCCAGGATGATCCACAAAAGTCGACGGTGACCACGATGGACGGTGACCAAGATCGGCGCCGACGTTTCCGCGTTCGGTCTCAGTCATGGCCGCGGCTTGCTCTCCCTCCAGGAGCACCTGCGCCGGCGGGTGTCGCCAGCGCTCGGCGGAGGCGATCCAGGGCGCGCCCTGATCCAGGACCCCCAGGGCGGGGCCGGTCTTGGCCTCCCAGATGGGGATCGGAGTGGATGGGGTCGGAGGATCGCGCAGCATCGCCGATGCATCGGCGATGTTCCCCGATGCGGATCCCGATTTTCTCCACGCCGGCGTCGCCGATGCATCGGCGATGCGGCGCGATCCTCCGACCAGCTTCGCCTCGGGCTCCCTGGCGCCCGCGGTGCCGGGCGAGGTTCAGCAGTTGTTTCGATTTCTGCATGGACCTGCACCTCTCGGTGGGCGCTTCACGTGGGGAGATTGCTCCTCGTTCTCATCATCATATTCGTTGATCGTTGAAGGTCGTTATGTTTATATTCCCCAATCTCAATACACACATGTACGTATACATATGGACATATTTATATGTACATAATGTATATAACTGTATATATATATATATATATGTATATATACGCATGTATGTGTATATACATATATGTATGTATATACACATATTTGTATACACATACACACATATATATACATATATATATATATATCGAGATGCGTATGTATGTATGTATTAGGCGCCTTCCTACTTCAAGAGCCGATCTGTTTTCCGACGTTTGTTATTCTTTGGGAAGGCATAAACCCAATCTAATGTACCTGCCGTCCTACTTTTAATATTATTTCTTCCGACTGGCTTGTAGCCTTCCTCCTGGCTCAATGGGTCCCCGCAGAAGGGCTCAAGCAAGGATGGTCTAGCGAACTGGCAGTCTGAGGGCTGACGAGTGCAAGGACCATGGCGTCTGAACTACCGCAAAACAGATTGAGGCCTGGATCGCGCAAAGGACTAATGAGTCCATCTGCTCCGACCCCATCTGCATGGCCTCTAGTTTGGGATGTTCGAGGTTCGCGGTTTTCGGGTGCTTTCGCCAGTTCTCGGCGGTTTTCTAGCCTCGGGACGCTCTCCCGCAGCTGCGCCTCGCCGAGCGCGTTCCGGAGGTGCCCAGATTCTGGCCGGATCTTCAAGAACGGCCGCCTGACATTCGAGTTATAACCCCAACAAGTTTGGGGTTCCCACACATGCCCGCTCGGTAACAAAAAATCACGGCGGAAGGTTTTTGGCCGGTTTCGGCCTTTGGGTGCCCACCAGCCCAGCCCAGGGGCCGTCAAGAAACGGCTCGCGGGATTTAAAACCAGCCCAGGGGAAACTTTCACCAAGCCGACCGGGCCGACTGATGCCGAAGATTCTGAGATCGTCGTCCGTGGATCGTTGCTTGCAGGGGAGGAAGAAAGCAAAACGGCCCTGGGGCAGCAGTCGGGACTTCCGGGTACCCCGCATCGACAGAAATCAGATCCCCAGGCGGGGTCCAGGGACGAACCCGGCTGGATGCTCCAGCGGCTTGGCCTCGTCTTGGCGCCGCAGCGAGCGGAGGGACGTCTGAGGGACGAGGGCCGCCAGGCCGCCTCCAAAGGGCGCCCCCTCCCGAAGCCCCCGCCTCGGACCTCGCAGCTGGGCACCGCGCGTGTACCATTGAGTTGTCTCGCCCTCTTGCTTCATCCCTCTCGTCTCCTCTTGGTTGTCTCTCCTCGTCCCCCATGGCATCCCTGCGCTGTCCGCTGCCGTTGAGGGCCCTTGAGCCAGGGCGCCCCAGACCCGATGTGAAAGACATGCTTCCGAATCTCGACTCTAGTCCGATCCGAAGCGATCCGAGATCGACATAGCGGGAGGGCAGCGCCCACTGGCGAGCTGGGTCCCGAGGGGGCTCAGACCTTCTCGCGGTGCTGTTGCGGCGGGGGCGTTCGTTCAAAGATGTGTTCGCGAGGCTTCGGACCCTGGAAGATCCCTTCTCTGATGCTGGCGGCGGTGATCTCCGTGGTCAGGCCCCAATCGGTGTTCGACCGGGTTTTCAGACACCGAGCTCCACATTCCCCGAACCATGCTTACACTTATTCTGGAATCGGAATAACCAGGGGCAACGATAGGGGGGGGATAGGCATAGGGGGGGATGCATCGACACGCAATCGCCCATTGACCGCCGATAGGGGCCCGATCGCCACAACCTGCCCAGTAAGGTGCGGATCCACTATCGGAGGCCTATCGCCGATCCGTCGTCGATGTATCGCCGATTACAGATCGATGCATCCCCACCTATGCCTATCCCCCCCCCATCGCTGCCCCTCAGATGAGGAGCTGGGCTCGTTCGTCGGCCTGGCGGCTATGTTGTCGGCGTCGCCGCCCCGTCGCCGCTTCGTTACCGCCCATCGTCTGGGCCTGCGCGGCGGTCTGGCGGCTATGTTGTCGCCGTCGCCGTCACGTCGCCACCGCCGCCGCTCGTCGCCGCCGTCAGAGTTCGCCGCGCAGATTGCTTCGCCATGCTTTGCATTACCTTACGTTGCATTGCTTTTCGTTGCTTGGCATTCCTTTCTTGCATTGCAGTCGCAGTGCACTGCAATCGCAGTGCATCTCATTGCATTGCATTGCGTTGCAATGCAATGGCGTGGTCGTGCGTTGCCTTGCATTGCTTTGCAGTGCGTTGCCTTGTTTCTTGTTGGCGTTGCATTGCTGCGCATTGCATTGCATAGCAGTGCACATCTTTGCATGACCTTGCACGATTTTGCATGGTTTCGCAGGGCTTTCAGGACATCGCATGGCTTTGCGTCGCATTGATTTACAGAGCGCAGCGTCAAGTTGAATTGATTTGCAGCGCTTCACTTCGCATTGCACCAGATAGACTGCACCACGTCGAGCGCACCATCTACATCGCACCACATTGACTGTACAGCCCAGACTGCACCGTATAGAGTACAAGAAATCATTGTTTGGGGTCCACGCTGGCTGACATCTACTGGTTTGTTCTCCAACGCCCTCCCCATATGGACAAAAACAGACGGGCTGACTGTTGGACCTCCTTCCAGGGGCTGTTCGGGGCGGTTTTCGCCAGCGTCACCCTGGCCCCTGCAGCCACCTTTTTCGCCCCCCCGTCAGGAGGTGCGCGGGCCCTGGGCGCTGCCTCTGGAGCGCGGAGCGGGAAACAGCTGCATGAGCACGCACGCCGTTAGGACGCTGAAAGAGCACGTTTTCTTTATTGCTTGGGACATCATGGGCATTATAGGCCCCGCCCTCCCCCCCCTACAACGTAACGCCACTCCCCCCCCAATGCGCCACCCCCCCTCTCCCCCTTTCCCCCCAAATGACGTAACGCCCAAAGGCAGGCCTTCTTCAAGAAGGCCTGCCTTGGGGCTCGGGAAGGGCGTTGGTTGTCGGGCCGCTCCTCAGATCTGGGTCGGGGGACCTGTGCGCGGCCGAGGCTCGCCGTGGCCACAAAAAAGCCCCTTCGCTCCTTCTTGAGCGCCCCCCTGTGCCGCAGGGGGCGCTCAAGAGCTATGCCTCCCCCCCCAATGCCATAGGGGGGCCCCCTTCGTTCCTTCTTGAGCGCCCCCCGACAGTGAGCGGCTTGAATGGGGAACACTTGCTGTTCAAAAGGGGCCCGGTCGTTTCTTAGGCTTGCATGCGTTATTTCTCGTTCCTGATACGTTGTGTCTTATGTATCGTTCCTTATGCGTTACTCTTTGGAAGAAGCATGAGCTTCGTTCCTTATGTATCGTTCCTGAGGTCAGGCCGATGACTGTAGGGCGCATGGCAATGGGCACGATGACTGCAGACGGTCGGAGGTCCGCGCGGACTTCGCGGCTCGGCCGTGGACCTCCCGTGGCGGGGCCTCTTCGCGCCAGGTCGGCGGGGGGTCCAGCGCCGGCCGAAGAACTCCATGCGGAGTGTCTTTTTTTTCACACATCGGGTTCACGTTCTAAGCACAGCGTTCTTGTTCTTAAGGCACTTCTGGGTTGTAAGAGAATTCCGTGGTAGGCCTATAGGACTGCTGGGACGGTCGGTCCCTGCTCACGTTGAGTCCGCCAAGCGGTGGCACTGATTTTGCCGTGGTCCTCCACAGCACGGCGTGGTGGTGGACGTCCGCGGCCATCGGGCACGCGCTCTGCCCCGCCCGGGCCGGACGAGAGGGCAAGAGAGGGAAGGGGGGGGTATGAAATCTGTTGCATGCAGCGGGTGTTAAGTCGGGCATGTCCCTCTGCAGGAGGAATATTCAAACATAGTCACGACCAAAATAGTCTGGGGACGATCTTTCTGGTATCTGTTCTTGCTATTTTCTGGGCTACTTCTTTGCATATTTTGATTTTTCGCCCAACATCCGCCCGTAGGGGGGACCTGCCCGACCGAAACCCACGAGGGCTCACGCGCCCCTCGTGCTGCCACGGGGAGCGCGGGCAGAAGGAGCGCGGCGGGGGCTGCTCTGGCCACCGCGGAGCGCGGGCAGAAGGAGCGCGGCGGGGGCTGCTCTGGCCACCGCGGGCCTCGGCCACGCCCCCCCCACACACGACAGCGGAGGAGCGGCCAGAGAGCCAGAGCCCCCCCGGGAGGCCCGATGCTCAGATCGGTGACCAGAGGAACCCCTTAGCCTTGAGTCGGGCATGTCCCTCTACAGGAGGAGTATTCGAAAATAGCAAAAATATAATCAGGCGACGTTTTTTGTTGCGCTTTTTGGCGACTTTGGTGCATTTGTCGATGCTCATGTCGGTAGCCAGAGGAACCCTCTAACCTTGAGTCGGGCATGTCCCTCTACAGGAGGACATTTCAAACATAATCCAAAAATAGTTGTGGGACGATCTGTTTCGTATTTGTTTTGCTCTTTCGTTGTATTTTCTTTGGAATAGTTAAGGTTTTGCCCAAAACCCGCCTGCAGGGGGACATGCCCGACCTAAGCCGAACCCGACTTAAACGATGAAGGCGCGGCCTCACTCAGGCCCCCGTCTTCGCATGAGGGACCGCAGTTCTGGGCGGTTCGGGTTTGATGCATCTGCTGGAACGACCCCCGTATCCCTCGTGCTGTTGGCCCTCCCAACTCAGGTCCCCTCCCAAAAAAGGCTCGGGGTGCTGCTGTTGCTTATCAGCTGCGGTCCTTCTTTCAGCTTCTTGGCTGTGTGCCGCGTCCCCCTCCTCCCAGGCCATTGCAAACATGGATCAAGGGGGCGTGGATTAGCGGCGGGTCCACTTTCCATGGGAGATCGCGCATTTTCGCCGCCGCACGGGGCGGCACCGGCCGCATTCTGGCGCGGGCGCCTCCCCCGATCCGTGGATCTCGCGACCGCGCGCCAAATCCACGGATCGAAACAAGTGGCACGCGTGCCCTGGCTCATGCACCAAGGAGCTGCGAGGGACAGGAGGCTTTCGCCTCCTTCCTCCAGGAGCTTCCTTCTGTGGCCAGAGGGGGAAGACGAACGACGAACGAGCGAACGACTACGACGAACGAAGATAAAGAGGTCCGAGCTCTAGAACACAGCTGTGCAAGAGAATAATCTACGCTTGCGCGCCCCCGATCCAGGAGTGCGTCCGCGAGGCGCTGGCCCACGCGCTGCCGCCGCCAGCGCGCGCCGGCGCGGGCGCGTGCGGGCTCCCCGGCGGCTGCGGCTGCGCGAGCGGCCGCCAGTAGGTCAGGAGGGAGAAAAAACACACACACACAGACACAAGTCATCGTCAGTTCCCAAGAACAGATGGGAAAATATGAGAAGTGGGGGGGAAGACAAGAACCCAGAAAATATTTGAAAGTATGGGTAGTAATCCTGTTATTTGTGTGTGTGTGCTTATTTGTGTGTCCCAGGGCCCCTTCAGTAGGCCCCTCGCGCGGCCGGCGGGGCGGCCGCGGGAGGGCGAGCGGCCGCTCCGAGGGGCACCGCGTCCGCGCACCGACCGGGCGAGCGAGGGAGCCGAAGCGGGGTCGGCCGCGCGGGCAGTCGCGCGCGAGAGCCGGGTCTCCCGCGGTGGGGCGCGAAGAGGTGTGGACGGCGGCCCGCGGATCGGCACGAGCTACCGTGGATGCAAAGAATTAGCGCGAAATCAGTTCGTGACGCTGGAACTCGTCATGCAAAGGCCACGAGCTCCCGCCTCCGGCAAGGTCTCCGGCAGCCAGTGCAAATGCAAAAGTACACGCGAAGCGCGGAAGCACTTTTTCTCAATCCGTGCTCGGTTACGCTTAGGTTGTGTTCCATCTCTTTGCATGGCGGAATTCGCGCTAATTCTTTACAGCCACGGGAAATGAGCACATAAAGAATGGGCACACTGCCCAACAGCAGTTCCTGTTCATTTTGAACAGGGCTCGCTGTGCGCGCCGCCGCGGCCTGTGTTCAGTTTGAGACAGAAGGCCGCCTGCCCAACAGCGGCCGCTATTGGTGTGGGGCAACATTTGTTGCTGGGCATTGTACCCATGTTTTCCGTACCCACTTCGGGCGTTAAACATTTAGAGGAAGCATGTTGCCAAAGATCTCCCAGGTGTTTAAAGCATGTTCTAAACATGTCTCCCACATGTAAAACAGCATGGTTAAAACCATTTTGTTTTTTGAAGTAAAATATTTCTACGACATTTTAATCACACTTTTGGTTCAATGATCGGACTGTCAGGGCGTCCATTGGTGATCGTTGTTTATTCATTGTTTTGCCGATCGGCGCGGGCCCCGACCCCCCCCCCATGGAGTAGATCTTGGCTGTTTTTTGGCGCCCAGTTCGAGCGGTTGCAGTTCCCCCAGGGGTTGCACCCTTCCAAACAGTCGCACTTCGAAACGCCGAAGAAAATAACGCTCAGTTGTCATGGCATGCGCAAGCGCAGCGGGCCGCAGTTCAGGCGTCGCGGTCTGGGCCAGAGCGGCCGGCCCAAGGGTGTGGCGCGAGGGCGCGAAATTGGTCGCACCTCGCGCCTCGCGGGGCGCGGGGCGCGAAAGTCAGGTGCCTGCATCGGTTTATGATGTTTCAACCTACTTTAGCCTGGAGGGCTTCTCCGAAGGGCTTAGGCGACCCGTCATCCTACCCCTCTTCCCCCTCCTCCTCCTCCTCCTCCCCCTCCTTCTCCTTTTCCTCCTCCTCCTCCTCCTCCTCCTCCTCCTCCTCCTCCTCCTCCTCCTCCTCCTCCCCCTCCTCGCCCTCCCCTCCTCGGGTCGCCTACGGCCCCGGGGGAGACCGTCCACTTTAGCCTTGACCACCAGGAGGACTTTCGAGCACCAGGGAAGTGCCGAAGCTGGAGGGTTTTCACGTGCCGGGCCCCGAGAGGCGATGCTTGTTCGACACCTCGCCAGCGTGTCGGGCAGACACTGTTTCGATACTTCTATGGCTGCTCGAAATTCGTTCTGGGATGCAGCCCTTAAGCACGAGGGGAACAACATAGACCAAGGCAAGCTTCCCGCGTAAGGTCGCGCGTGCGCGCCCTCGTGGCAAGTCTAGCGTGCCGCACTGGAGGCGGCCCGCCCGCGTAAGGCGCGGCGTGAGGTCGCTGTGCCATCTTGCGTGGGCTCCGCTTCTTGTCGTCGCTCCAGCGGGGGCGACCCAGTGACAGCCGCCCAGAGATCCGACGCGTTTCCCCGTTTAGTGGGAGCGTCGGGATTTTAGCTGTTTTTTCTGCCTTTGGGGGCCCTCGCCGGGCCTCGGGAGCGCCAAAAAAGACTGAGGACGAAAAACGGGCCCCCGGGGAAGTGGTCCGAACTTCCCGAGCCCGTGCATCGAAGGAATTGGGGCGGCCGGATGTGATGGGCCTGTTTTCCACCACCACGATATCAGAAGTTGGAGGATGAGGAGGAGCAGGAAGAGGAGGAGGAGGAGCAGGAGGAGGAGGAGGAGGAGGAGGAGGAGGAGGACCAGGGGGAGGAGGAGGAGGAGGAGCAGGAGGAGGAGGAGGAGGAGGAGGAGGAGGAGGAGGAGGAGGAGGAGAAGAAGGACCCTCTCCGCCTCCTGCTTCTGGTGGTGGCGGTGGGAAACCAGCCCACCAGGATGTCTGGGCAGCAGTGGGTGCAACGCAGCTCGCTGGTAGGCCGTCTCCTCGCGCCGCTCGAGGCGGCCCCCCATTTGGGCCTGGGCTTGAGTCGGGCCTGTCCCTCTACAGGAGGAATATTCAAAAATAGTTTAAGAAGTTGTCATGAGACTTTTTTTTGACTATTTTTGATCATGTTTGGAGTTTCTTGGGGTATTTTTGATTTTTCGTCCAAAATCCCCCTGTATGGGGGACAGGCCCGACCTAAGCCTGGGCGTCTCGGACGGTGCCGGCATAGGCCAGCGCCCCGCTCGAGGAGCGCGGGAGCAGCAGGGTCTCGCTCGGCCGGTGCTCCTCGCGAGGGCCGGTTCCCGTGCATGTGCTGCTGCTCGAGGTCGCCCCGCGGTGGGCTCCTGGGGCTCGGCCCGCCGCCTCCGCAGACGCGCCAACGGCGATGTACACACTGTTCATTCCTGATGCTTCCAAAGTTCTTTGATTTTTTGGGGGGCCAAGATCCTTTCATTTCTAATTGTTCTATCCTGGGCCTCTTCCTGGCCACTAGGGGGCCAGGAAGAATTAGAAACGAGCGCAATTAGAAATGAGCACGATTAGAGATGAACGACGTGTAGGTAGCGGCGATGCAGGCTTCGGCATGGTGGGTGGGAGTGCCTCGTGGCCGAACCGATTGTGGGACATCGTGGTTGGCGCTCTCCTGCGATTTGCTGCGTCGTTTTCGCTCGATGCATGCGCGCATGTTTGGAATGCAGGAAGGTGTGGTTCACGATTTCCTACCATTTGTTCTGCGCGAGCTCGGCGTCACAAAAGTCGGGTTCCCAGCATCGCCGTGAACCAACATCGCCGTTTGCGCGGCCTTGGCTCCTCCCAGAGGTGGCGTGTGGGTGCCTTCTGCGTGTGGCGCCTCCTGCAGCCAGGCGCGTCCTTGTCTGGGGCCGCCCGTGGGGCTCGTAGTCGGCCCGCTGTGTCTCGCTGCCCGAATTCAGAGTTGTAAATCGCATGGGAGCCTAGCCGATCTGGCGCTGCTTGGCCAACTTGTCATTACTCGAATTCAGATTTGTAAGGCACCCCCAACTTGTAGAAGCCCATTGGGGTGGCATGGGGGCCGTGCTATGCACGTAGTAGCCTCTGGCACTTGGCTGTGCCGCAGACCTGGCCACGCCATGAGATACCACCATCTCAACGGGTGACCTCGTTCTCTCTGTACAGTGTAACGACCTTGTCAGAGCGAACACGTCACGCTCTGGTTCGCAGTGGCAGGAGTGCCGATGGCGTGATCACGCCTCGGATTTATTTCTGGCGTCCTCGCGCCACTGCTTGTCGCCGCCCCTGCTGCAGCGTGTCGGTCGCGCCTCCTGGCAGGTCCCGCCCTGCAGGAGGTCGTTTTTGCACCACGCAGGAACCGTCGGGCCCCCCCAAAAAAACGCCCCTGGCACATGCTTAGCCCTGTAGCCTCAGCCTCCGCCTCGTCGGTCAGAGCCTGACCCCGTTCTCGATATCTGCCCCCCCTCCCCACCCCACACCCCACCCGCCACCCCACCCGCCACCCCTTCCTTTTGTGATCGTACTGCACCCCGAGGCACTGATCGTCCCACCCCTGTTGCCCTCCGTCGTGGCAGACGCAGAGACACCTTTTCACGTCGCAGCGCGGCAGAGGCAGTCCGCGCGCGCGCGCTTGGGCCAGCTGGGCGACGGCATTGCGAACTGTCCGGTTGCAAGAGTAGAGGGCGGGGAAGAGGAGGAGCGGCCGCGGGAGGAGGGGAAGGGACTACTGCGCTCGCGCAGCGGGGACCGCAGCGGGGCGCCCGGGGCGGCCAAGCTGGTGCTGTACCCCCGGCAGCCGGCACGGGGCGGCGTCGCGACCACACCCAGTCAGAGGCAGAGATGCAGTCAGGGACGGAGGCGCCCTGCAGGGCGCGGGGAAGTTCGCTCGGCCTTACTGCGAGCGGGAGGCAGGGAGGCAGTGACTGACTGTACGGGGCAGGGAAGCCCGCGCGCGCGCGCCTCGCGCGCTGGGCAAGGGGCGCGCGGACATGAAGGTCCAGCGCCGAGCCAAGAGATCCGCGCGAATTGCTTATGCAGACAGGTAGACAGACAGACAGACAGACGGACGGACAGACGGACGGACGGACGGACGGACGGACAGACAGGCGGACAGACAGACGGACAGACAGACAGACATGCGGACAGACGGACAGACAGACAGACGGACAGACGGACGGAGCACCGCTGGAACACGGACCACACTTCGGCTTCGGGAGGGGCTCGGTGCTCCCTTGGCTCCTCCGGGAAGGTTTTCCCGGACTCTCCAAGAGAAGGGGCCAAAGGAAGGGCGTCGCCGCTCAAGGCGCCTGACACGGAACGCCCCGATAGAGGTCCCAAGCGGTCCCCAAAGGTCTGCATGCCTCCGTAGGCGGCGGGGGGCTCAGAAGAGAGAGAGAGAGAGAGGGGGGGAGGGATGACGAGGAGCAGGAGGATGACTGGAGAGGACCGCTCTTCCTCCTGGACGAGGAGGAGGAGGAGGAGGAGGAGGAGGAGGAGGAGGAGGAGGAGCAGCAACAGCAGCAACAGCAGCAACAGCAGCAACAGCAGCAGCAAAAAGAGGAGGAGGTGGTGGAGGAGGAGGAGGAGGTCATCTGGAGGCGCGCCAGAGGCGCCAGATAATGCGTGCGCCGAGCGGTAGG